AGAGAGAGAGAGAGAGAGAGAGAGAGAGAGAGAGAGAGAGAGAGAGAGAGAGAGAGAGAGAGAGAGAGAGAGAGTACGACAGCGGTTCTGCCCCGAGCTTCAGTGGGCCGTATCCTGTCCCTCAAGCCGTCTTCACCCGAATAGAACGCCCGGTCATTTATATATAGCTGTACTTTGGGAAACTATAGATGCAGCGATAATGACCAGGCGTCCTATTCAGGTGACGACGGCAGCAATCGTTCTGGAGTAGAACTGAAGTCTGCGAATGCGAAACATGCTTTCGAGCGCTGCATCCCACTGACCGCTACCGGTATGTCTGCACTGCCGTACGTATACACACTCGTGTCTTTTTTTTTTCGCCTTTCTTATTTCGACGTGTGCACACACTCGCCAGTCTATGGGCCTCGCTCCAAATGTGCAAAACGAGAGTGAATCTTCCACTAGAATATGGGCCGATACACATCGCCATGATTTTTGTCTTTTGTGCATGTCGAGAGTAGTGGAGCGAGGCCCTATGTAATGAGAGTCGCAAAGTTCATTTTGGTCAGAGGGATGCAGAGAGTCGCAAAGCTCAACGAACACGAGGGATCAACGGCTTCAGTCAGATCCACCATGGTAGCCAAATGTGAAAACGACAATGCCATTTGGCTAAGATCAAGTGCACTGTATCTGTTCTGATCAGTTTAATATCTGATCTGTGGTCCATCGGGCCACAACGATATTTAAAAAAAAAAAAAAAAAAAACGACAATGCCATTGAATGGAACAGCCAAATGTAGAGAAACAACAATGGAATGGGTCAAATGTGGAAACGACAAGCATGGCGATTATATCTTTCCACCATCTACCTGAAGACTCCCTGGTCATTTATTTAAAGAAAAAAAAGAACACACACATCTAGCACACACACACACACACACACACACACACACACACACACACACACACACACACACACATTATCGCAGCGAACAGCCCGGTGCGCCGTAGGCGGAGAAATTGGCCATATACGTAATTTAGAAGATCGCCACGTCAGCAAATGCAGTCGGATCTGACACGTGTCCGTTTCTCCATCTTCTTCGTGGAGTTTAGCTAAACGACAAAACATATCCGCAGCTGCGGTTTCCGTCTCTCCACAGCTAATTCCCAAAACCGGCGTTCCGTTCTAAAGACAACCCGGGAATGGGATTGGGCGCGCGGCCGGGGGAGAGGGGGGGGGGGGGGGGGGGGGAGGGGGGGGGGGGGGGGGGGGGGGGGGGGGGGGGGGGGGGGGGGGGGGGGGGGGGGGGGGGGGGGGGGGAAAGTTAGCAGCGGGCCGGGTGGAACAAAAGGAAAACGCCTGTCGACACCACCGACTACTAGGCACATCTTCAAGGTGCTACA